TTTGCGGGTAAAGGGGTGGGGAAAGGGGATTCGGGTTTGGGTACTGGGTTGGGTAGTACGGGTTGGGTGTTTGGTACTGGGTTTGGGGTGGAGTAGGGTAGTGGACGGGGTTCGGGTGTTGGGCCACATGGGCCTGGGTCGGGTAGGGGGAGTAGGGCCGTGGGGCTAGAAGGCCAGGTGAGGGGGTGGGGAACTGCCAGGTATTTGGGCCGGGTTGTCGTTGATTCGGGCCGCCTCGTCCACGTCCTCGGCCATGTCCGCGGTAACCACCAGAGTTGCCCCGATTTGATCCGCCGAAACTGCCCCGCCCGGAGTTCTGCCCGCTGCTGCCCTGCCGCGACTGACCCCCGCCCACCATGTTGCTGCCGCCGCCAAGACTAAGAAGGGCGGTGGACGGACCGGTGTTGGGGAGGGCGTCGGCCTGCTGTTGTTCGACCAAGAGGAGGGCCGATCGGACTTCCAGGAATGTTGGAAACGGGTTTTGATACTGCAAAAAGTGAACTTGGCCCCGGATGTCATGCGGCAATCCTTGAAGAACTTGTAGGACGAGAGCGTGTTCGGTCACCGGGGCATCCACATCGTCGAGATAGTCGGCTAGGTTCTTGAGAGTGTGACAATATTCATTTATTGTCTTGGTTCCTTTGACGGTGGTGCGGAACCGGTGCTCCAATTGCATTGCCCGGGCATGCTTGTTGTCATGGAACAATTTGTAGATCGCTTTCCAGAGTGCCACGGCGGTAGGGCTGTTTGCGAGGACGAGATCGGAGACCTCATCGGAGACGGTAAACATCCATCCTTGAAGTAGGGCGTCGAATTGGAACCACTCGGCATCGTCGGCCGATTTGGCGACGATAATGCCGTCAAGATATCCCATGAGATTAAATCGAAGAACAAGGAGACGAAAGAGTCGACTCCATTTTTTGTAGTTCGGCTCCGAGATACTAAGTTGAACGGGGATATGGAGCTTGATATTTGAGATTGTTGTAAAAGCAAGGTGGGGAGATTTGGTGTTGTTGGTGTTATCGGAGGAGACAGAGGAGACTTCGGCCATGGTGAGAGTTAGGGGAGATGGCCGAGAGAGAAAGGGATCAAGCAGAGAGAGAGAGCTGCGGCAGAGAGAGATATTGCCGAGAGAGAGAGAGCCGAAACAGGAGAGGGAAGCCGTGAAAAATTTAGGGCTCTGATACCATGAAGAATTGGTATTTTCAATAATCATAATGTGTAAATACATGGGAATATATATAGTAGAGCTTTCCTAGTTACATTAGGAAACCTACTATGTTAGGAATCCTTAATTAATAAGGACTATACAAGTATGGAAACTTCTATATACAAAAGATACTAAATATATACAGAATATATTTAACACACAAATTTTAAAAGTGAGTAGTTAAAATCTAAAAATAGCTTATGAAAGTTTATTTTATACGGAGTATTTCATAAACTAAAGAACATCTCCCTTTTATTGAACTATGTACTCATTAATTTGTTTTTGGTCACCTCTCAAAAGGGTTTGTATTAAACTATTAATGGCTTAGATTGAACTATTCCTTTGTACAAGAAAGATTCGTTCAAATGTCCTATTTTGTCCAAGAAAGATCTCCACATTATCATTTTTTTACAATTGGATACTACAATTATCCTCTTTTTATTAAGGGTAATTTGATAAACTTTTACCCTTTTTAATTGGTCTTTTAAAAATAATTTTACATTTTACTGTAATACATAATAATCCAAATTTTATTGAAACTTACGAGTTTTGCATAATAATCCAAATTTTATCGTTAAGTTGCTAAGAGCAGGTTAACGATTTTACACAACCAAATGAAAGTTGTGATTACTCTTAATGGAAAATATCAAAATAGAAGTTCCATATTTTTTTCCCAAAATATGAGTTACAGTGTCTATAATGCCATATATAATGCCAAAAAACATTATAAAATGGAAATATATAGGGTCACAATGTCGTAGTGCAAAAATATTATTTTGGAGATAAAATATGAAACTCCTATTTAGGGGATATGAGTTATGTTATTTGAGGTGAGTTTTTTTATTTTTGACATTTTTTTTATTTTTTATAAAAGTTACTCCTTAAATTATTAAAAGGATTTTCTAACTCCGTGATTTCTTTTCCTTTTTTTAATATTAGTCTAACCTCATAAAAAATAGATATAAAATAAAGAAATTAGAAAAATAAATAAAATCATACAAAATCAATAAAATAAAAGATAATCAATAAATAATAACTTCAAATTCATAAAAAATAAAACTAAAAATATATAGAATGGTGGGTTCTCATGTTCTTGACACTATACACAGTATAAATATATTATTTCCTCCCGTTCGTAAGATATGAAAATAAAAATAAAAAAATAAAAATTTATTTTCATATTAAAACCCCAAAAAATGGAAATATAAATAAAAATAAGAAATGAAAAATAATTGTCTTACTTCAACGTAATTTCATTTTAGTTATTTCTTAATAAAAACTATTTTTTATTTATTACGGATTTTAATAAGAAAATTATTATTTATTCTTTTATTTTCATATTTTACAAACATGTAGAACTGATACAATAATAGTCTGTATAGTGCGTAAAACATTAGAACCCATCACTTCTTATATTTTTATTTCTTACCTGTTTGAGGTTAGTTTTTATTAATTATCTTTTTATTTCATTTATTTCGAATGGTTTTAGTTGTTTTTCTTATTTTTGTTATTTTTATATCTATTTTTTATTTTTTTCCCCTAAGACTAAACTTTAAAAAAAGAAAAAAAATGATGGAGGTACAATTTCATTTTAATTTTTAAAAAAAAATTTCAAAAAAAAAAAATTAACATGAAAATTCAAAAAAAAATAATCTCAACTTTTATTTTGTTGCGCAAAACATGTCATTTCCGTTAACATGTTGTGAACAACTATATGGCGTCCAAAAACACAAAAATTCTAGTAAAGTTGAAAATATTATGGATCATAGTGAAAAGTGAGTTTATTATGCATCACAGTGAAAAATGAGTTTATTATTCAAAAAATAAACTCAGACGACTCAGTGTATAATAAACTCTGAGGTTTCGAGTGCGCAATAAACTTTGAGGTTTCGAGTGTGGCATAATACGAGTTTAGGATTTAGAAATATATGTGTGTGTTAATTATTTTTATTATTATATTATAAAATCACTCTATTTTTCCAAAAAACAATTCATTTATTTATTTTACTATAACATATATGTCGTTGGTCATCTTTTTACGAGACCTACCCAGCGACACCCCAATATTGAATATTTAATTTTGACTTTATGATATACTTATATATTTTATTCTTTAACTTTATTGTTTTTTCGCTCCTGAGCGATCAAGTTAATAAGTTCCCTAATTCGGGTTCACACATGAAATACACGTTGGACACTTTTCTTCGAAACCTACAATTTGAATATAATTTGATCATAAAAAGGATAATTTTAAAAATATCTTGATTTCCATGTGGTTCAATTCTTCGTTAATTATTTAAAATGATCAATTCCAACATAAATAAATAATATTTAATTATTTAAAAACAACGAGTAACTACTAAGGCCCCGTTCCGTTCAATTTATTTTTTCTGCCTTTTTCTTAATCTTATTAAAATCAGATCAGATCAGATCTAATCAGATCAGATCAGATCCGAACCAATCAGATCAGATCAGATTAGAACCAATCAGATCAGATCAGATCTAATCAGATCAGATCAGATCTAATCAGATCAGATTAGATCCAATCAGATCAGATCAGATCAGATCCAATCAGATCAGACCAGATCAGATCCAAATAAGAATTATTATTATTATTGTTGTTGTTGTTATTATTATTATTATTATTATTATTACTACTACTACTACTACTACTACTACTACTACTATTATTATCATTATCAATATCTTTATTACTCCTTACTTTTTAAATTCCATATTTTTTAGTTGTTTCACTTGATACGGTTCTTTTAATAAATAAATTTAATTCTATTTAAAAAATATAAGAAGAAAGAACATGAAACTTTTTGTGTGATTATAATTTATGTAGACTAAAATAAATGATATGAAGCACAATTGTTTTCTTAAAAATGAAAAATAATAAACTTTAGAAACAAGCTAAATAGAAACCCGAGAAAATAATATTTAATTATTAATGAAAAATGTATTATTTCTTTGCTTAACATTGATAATATAAGGATGTGATCTTTTAATAAAAATATTAATGATTATTAATAACATTGATTATCTTTATTAAATAACATTTTAGTGCATATATAAATTAAATAATTATTCTAATGTTTATATAAACTAATTATTAAAATATTAAATCAATATTATTCATTAAAAAAATCATAAAATAAAAAATATTATTACATTATAATATGAATGATTATTCTAATATATGAGTTAATTAATTTTGTTTCATTAAAAAATAATCATAAAAAAATATTGATTATATTATAATATGAATTATCATTANATGATCAGTTAGGTAAATGGAATCGGAGCTTGCGGGGGTGGTTGGGAAGAGAGAGAATGAGAGAGAGAGAGAGAGGCTACAGTTTGGCGCGAGTTAGCATTTGAGTGGGGAGTTATGGTCTATAACTTTTGAACCCTTGGTTGACTAACGGTAGGCAATAGCACAATGATCTTTAACAATAGAAATATCCACGTGGCATTTGGCCTTTTTGGTAAATATTAAAGAAACTAATATTAACCCATGCCTCGTACGGGCTCGCATATTTTTAAATTTTAACATCTAAAAAATAAAATATTGTTTATTTTAAATTATCTAATGATATATGGTGTTTGATAAATATTTTCTATTTATAAACTATCTCTTTTGATAGAAAAGTTTTAGTTTTAATATTGATGTACATGTACTAAAATTTATATAAACATTTATTTTGAGATGTATTAAAAGAGAATCCGATGAATACTTTATTAAAAACAACATAAGACTTTCTTTTTTTTAAAGATAAATAAATTTTATAATTTTTTTATATATATAACTAATTATGTAAGAAACATATATATAACATATAAACTCCAAATGAATACAATCATTGAATAATACTCCGTATATATTAAGATTTTTAATCTATATACTTCCTTCGTCTCAAAAAGATTATAATAGTTAGACTTTTTTGGTAAAACTATGTGACACTTTAAATACAATTTTAAATAATTAAATTTCATAAAAACTTAATATATGAAAACGTTATTTTAAATGGATACATTTTTTTATAATTTACATTATAATTGAATATAATTTACTTTTTGTACACTTTGTGGTCAAAGTTTAAAGCAACTTGACCAAAATAATCAAATTGTTATCAAATGAAAAAATAGTGAAAATTGATTTAATTATTGAAAAAATAAAATAAAAAATCCAAATAAACAAATTAAGTAAGGATAAATCATTGAAAGATACATATGTGGTATATGGCATGTATGCCATGTGTTATCCTATAACAAAAACAAATTTAGTTTATTTAATTTAATTCGTTGAAATATTATATAAAAAACTAAATAATGTTACAGAAAAAACATTTTGAAGTAAAATAAATAGTTAACAAATATATGGTTAATAAATATATAGTTAATAAAATATAGTTATTTGTTAGAAAGAACAAAATAAAATAAATAGTCAAAAATATATAAAATGTTAGTTTTTAATTAATAAAGTTATAATACTTTTCTTTGAATAATCATATAATTATGCATATTTATAAAATATGTTATAATAATGAAATATGTATTTTTTCTATAGTTAAAAAGTGAAGAGTTTTATAGAAAATAATAAACATAATGATTATTTAAAAAAGTAAATGATTTTATAAACACTTAATAAAGATAATGGTGATTTAATGTTAGAAAGTGAAGATTTTTAATAAATCAATAAAATTAAAGCTTATT